TAATATAATATAATATAATATAATATAATATAATATAATATAATATAGGGGGACCCAAGACCTTTCTGTGTGGAGTTTGCATGTTCTCCTGTGTCTGCGTGGGTTCTCTCCGGGTTCTCCGGCTTCTTCCCACAGTCCAAAAACCTGCATGCTAGGTTGAGTGGACATTCCAAATTGCCCTGTCTTGTCTTGTGTGTGGCCATGACACTGGGATAGGCTCCAGTTCTCCCCGCGACCCCATCAGGGAATAAGCGGTAACGATAATGGATGGATGGATTGATGGATAATATAATATTCCTGCATCAAAACCCAGATATATCATATTAACACATGTAAATTGGAATATATGAAAATGAAATGTATATATTGTAATATGTTCCTGTGATTTTTAGGTACGTTTAGTCATTAATGAGAAGGGTCTGGTCTGTGAAGAGAGAGATGTGAGTATGCCGCTGCAGGAGCATAAAGAACCGTGGTTCATGAGGCTGAATCTGGGAGAGGAGGTACCCGTGTTCCTCCATGGAGACACCATCATCAGTGACTACAACCAGATCATAGATTACCTTGAAAAAAACTTTGTGGGAGGTAAGGCGTTCAAATACTAAGACTTGTGCATGACAATGTTGCCTCCCTGTCCTCATTTTTACTTTTTAAGAATGAATAGTTTGACCTACTGTCCACAGCAGAAGTATAAGTTACCTACAATGACTGTTTCTTAAACCATTTACCAACCTTAAAAAGACACAGCAACCTTTAAATTGAATTTTCCATTTAAATTTCTATCTTGTACACTAACTTATATAATTAGCCAAGTTCAAATGTACAAGGCTTTAAAAACAGTTTTGAAACAAAAACATCTTTGCCCTGACAAGAATTTTAGAATCAGTAGTCCTGGCAAGATAATTGCAATGTATTCACATTAATGACATCTTAAAGCTAACAACAGAATTATTTAACTATTATCCACACATTTATTTACATTTAGAAAGAAAAATATACAAAAAGGAGCATCTATGAGGATTTCATTTGTGGATTGTCCAAGAGTGAGTTCATTTAAGGATGCATACACAGAATGTTATTACAATTTGATGAAGTTCAGGTAAAGATAGAGACCTAGGTAAAGAGAATAGAATGGTGAAATTATTTGGATTTATTTTTAAACGGCAAAAAGAATATGCAGATGAGCCAGAACATTTGAAAGCCAAACTCATAAAACAAAAACCTAGGTGCAGACAAAATATGACTATGACAATGGACAAGAATGTGAAGAAGCATAGTAAACATAGAGGAGAAACAGCTAAGTTCTGACAAGGACTGTGAAAAAAACAGAGAAATGAAGAAATATGGATCAACTGCAGAACAGAAATAGCTGTTGAACACATAACTAAACAAGAAGAAAGTGAGAAAGACTTTGGGTGAGAGAGTGGTACAATAAACTAATTTACGTGAATGAAAACAAGACAACCCATATGGAAAGGAAATAGAAAAAAAATCATTAAAAAATGTAATTTTCAGTTTATGTTTCGTGTATTGTGCATCATATAAATAATATATGATTTACTCCTGAAAGTGTCCACTTTTACATTATCGTCACACATTGTTCTAATAAATACCCAAATCATACAAGTTTTGTTTTGTTAAAATTTACTCTGAATCTTATATCTGGTTTCACTGTTGTGTTTCAGACAAAAGAGATTTATCTATATCTCTTCCGTATGGGTATACTCAAGAAATTCTGAGAGTAACAAAAAAAGGAAAAGCAAGACTAAATTAAATTTATTCTAGAAAAAATGTGACTAAATAACCCAAAACAACAGAGTAGAAAGAATATACAATGGCATGGAAAAACAAAGCCAACAATTTTTTTTTCACAAACTGTGTCAGACATAGTTTTAGAAACCATGATGTATTGTTCTGCTGGTCAAATCCCAAAGTACCATTGTACCATCCAAGACATGGAGCATAAGGAATATTTGCCATCTTTGGTAAATAAATGTCTGCAACCATGTATTGATCTTCATTAATGGATGTTTTCTTGTGAGTATAAAGCTAAACATGTACATATGTATATGCCTTTGTTTTATTTTGCTTATGGAGCCTGTAACAAAAATAATTTCCCTCTGGGATTATTAAAGTATTTCTGATTCTGATTCTGATTCTGATAAAAACTATGGCATCACTGGACTTTTTTGTGTGTCCTAGTCTGGTACAACAATAAAAGGTGTGAAAGTTAAATTTAAAACATATATCTTATAGTTGCACAGTTATTTATGAGTGAAAAAAGTCTTCAGTAACCTTTTCCTGACAGAAATAAATGGGTAATTTAAATTATTATGGTTGACCATAACACTCTACTTTTCTTCTTTCTTCAATACATATTATCTCTTTTGCTGTGATGGCTCTTAATGCTCTTGATCTTTTTGGGATATCTTTAGTATTTTTTACATTTATTACTTATTTTTTGAGGGAATCTTGTTTTTTGTACACATTTAGTTTTGTTTTTATAAGCTTAAAACTTGCTAGTCTGCTTTACATTGTTTATAGAACTCTAGTCAACTGGTTGTTTTAGATATACTTTATGATTACAATTTGATTTGATTTTCAAATGAATTATTTTCAAATGTGTTCATGTGGCGCTTGCTTAGTTGATGCATCATTTTATCTTTGTGACTAACTTGTACTTTTTGCCATATTTTTTATGCATTGTTTTTGGCATGTCATAAGTTGAATCAGAATGTCAAAGTTCATGATCTGACATCACTTCATACTCTTCGTTAAATAACAGCTCAACAAAATACATTTTCAAAGTTTAAAAATATTCTTAACTCAAACATTAAGGTGTCCTCCAATTGGAAATTACCATCAGATTAACAGCATTTCTTGGTGGGTGCTGCATAGACTTGCAATGTCACAAAATAAGGTCTTGTTAATAAAAACTTTTTAAAAATTATGTCACCAACGTGTACAAGTATTCATAGCAAAATGCACAACTATACTGTGACTACTTCTATTGTCCTAATGATTCTTTCTTCATCAGAATAACCAGAAGAAGTAGAATCCATTCAGTCATCCATACTTTTTTTAAAACTCTTTTATTCAAACTCAGAGTTGAAGGGGAGTGGTACACAGGAGTTTTTCAGGTTACTGATTTGAATACCCATACACCACAAGATAATCACTTCTTCAAGAGGAAGATATAGTGACTTGTATTAAATAACCTAAATCATCTTTAAAATACTAAAGCAAATAGCAAAAGGCCAGCAGGAGATCGGTACAGCATCCTTCCAATGCATATTACTGTTGAGGTTATGTCATTGTTAGTCTGAAATTCCATTTAAATTCCTCCCTTGTGGCTACACTAAAAAAAACTGTTTTCTCAATATGAATTCACAAATGCTTGTTAGTCTGAAGAAGATATTTTTTTAGATTGTTCTAGTTTAATTGGAATGACAGCATTTTTAATACTGGGAGGGATGTCATCTGTTTCTAGGTTACCACGATTGTGTCTGGCTATAAAAAATGTAAATAAAAGATGGATTAAAAGTTTTATTTGATTGCTTTAAAAACAAATTGTCAATTTGTACAGTAAAATTGTTTTCACCTTTCGACTTTTGTGTTACCCACACGCAGAGACAGTGACTCCGTTGGTTCCTGATGCAGACTCGCCTCTCCACGATCCAGTCCAGCAGTACCGTCAGTTACTGGACGGCCTACCCATGGACGCTTACACACACGGCTGCATCCTCCATCCAGAGCTCACAACTGACTCTATGATCCCAAAGTACGCCACTGCAGAAATACGTAGTAAGTGATGCCAGCTTGCAGCAAGGTGCACCTATAAATGTGCACACCTGTAGTCACTACAAGAAGACAGGGAAAAGCTTTTTTTTTGTGGTAATTTTTGAAGGTTCTGGGTTTTCATCAAAATTTTGCCAGGCCTTTAGATTTCAAGTAATGAAAATAGAATGCATCAACTTGTTTTAACTTTAATGTAAATCTCCCCCAAATAAAGTAAGATGATAAATGTCGGTCAATAGCTAGAGGAAAAATTGTGTTAGCTATTGATTTTTGTATATATTTGGAATCCCTATCAAGAGGCAGGGTACACTCCAGACATGCCAGTCCATCACAGGGCCACACAGACACAAGGCCCATGCATATTCACATTCAATTTGGAAGAACTTACAAATCTAACAAACATGCTAAAGTGAAGTAGGGAGTAACACCCTGTATATTAGCTCTTCAGCTTTTTCCATTAAAAGATTATCGTTAAAGTTTTGTTTGTGTGACTCAAATTCTTAACTCTGACATTGCAAGTACCTTTCTTCTCAACTTCTGTCCATGCCTGGACACAGCTGATGTCTGAGCTGTTCCAGCTACTGGTTTCAAACCAACAATAACACAGTATTAGACACATGATTGCTAGGCCAAGAGAGACTGTCAGGTTCTTGGTCACCTCTTACTTGGGTCCTTCTATTCTGATTGTCCAGTTTTGTTGGGTAACTCGACTATGTCAAACTTCTTCCATTTAAAAATAATCAACACCACTTTGCTCTTTGGGAATTATTTTTCTGATTTTTTCTATGAGCTGTGCAGTAATTCATTAATTGCCCTTTGCTCTGATTCCATTATCAACAGTGAGGCCTTTTGAAGCTTTGATAAAAAGTGCAGAAGAGTTTAAACTACTATGATAAGAATAAAACAATCTCTCTGAATAACAGGATTACGTATATTGATTTTTAATGCTGTTCCGTGTGTGTATAATTTCAGGACACTTGGCTAATGCTGCAACGGAACTCATGAAGTTGGACCACGAGGAACCTCAGCTTACAGAACCGTACCTGTCCAAGCAGAAGAAGCTAATGGTAAGTCTTGATGTTACCTCAAAGTCAACTTAATAGCGATAAGTAATCAAGTCCGTTTCAAGTTGTATTAGATACAACGCAACTCAGTCTAACACATACAGCGCTCAGTTCAGTGCATTCTATTTGTATCGAATCAAAGGAGTATGTGTGGTCAAATACACAAGAATACTATTTTGGTATAGTTTAAAAAATAGATATATTTATCTAAACGTAAGGTTCATTTAATGAACTTTGAACAAATATTTTTGGCTCCACTAATGGTGGAAAAGTAATCAATATTAAAATCTATAGCATATTCCTTGAATACTGTGCTTAATATACATGAATTTACAGTCACTGTCTTGCCTGTGAAAATGGAAAACCCAGAATGCCAATCTTTACAATACAGCTGTATCTAACTGCTCTTGCAATGTTGACTCACTCTGTTAACACGCATAAAAAAAGAAAAAAAAATATTTTTTTCATAAGAATGTAGTCTCTGGAATAGCACCATATGGCTGATGGATTGAACAATTAATATAACTCAAAATACAACTGCCATATTTTCAGTTGCTGTTACCAGAGGACATTTTCTGGTGGGTTTTGTGAAGTCTTGACTTTAATTTCCTTTCCGTGGGAGAAAGTTCATGTGGGATTTGGAAATGTATCCTTATTCGACCAAGATAAAATTGACTCTGGGCTTGAAGCTGAAGATGAACTTCCCATTTGTAACTGAAGATTAAACACGTTCTTTGAGTATTGGAATTATATGAAATATAAATAAACATACTGTAAGTTAAAATCATTTTTAGTTGACATTTGAAAAACAGTACAGTCATACTTCAGGGTTCACCATTTAGAAAATATGTTAATTGAACTGGTGAGTAAATGGTCTGCTAAATAAGAATGGTGAACATGAACAACAACATATTAATACTCTGATGCTAGCTTTCAAATGCTGTCATCTTGAACAAATCTGATTTTTAAGTGTTTTTTTTAAATATTGTTCTTTATTAATATTTGGTAAATTAAACATACTTTTTTTAGATAGAAATATTAGATTTTTTTTTCTTAAAATGCAGCTGAAACATGGACTCAGCTGACCTCCCAACCTACTCCCGACCAATTGTCTTTCTGTCCATGTATGATGACAATATTTTTTTAAAAAGATGTTAAGGTATATTTCACAGCTTTTTATCTAAAATTTTGTTTAAAATGTTATGATACAATGACTTGTACAGAGGCCATTAACAATTAACTTAAATTAAAGTCATCACAGATTTCTATTGCAACATAAGCCAACTTTTCTGGAAGTAGAGCATTAAAGACCAGTAATGCTTATATCTAATACCAGTGAAGGCATCAGATGCTTTTGAAGCAAATAAGCAACATTCAGGACTTGAAAGACCCTATGTAGCTAAATCTCTTCAGGTATAAAATTAATCTTCAAGTGGTTTACAGGCAAAAATCTTGGACCATGATAATGTGAATTACCTGAAGAAAATTCTGGGAGAGTTAGCCATGGTTCTTGATCAAGTGGAGGCTGAACTGGAGAAACGGAAACTAGAGTATCAAGGTAAAGTATGTTCAAATAAAACCGATTACAAATATTTTAAAAATGCAGTACTGTTAATTATTTATTTATTCTTTTTTTTGTTTCACAGGTCAGAAGTGTGAGTTGTGGCTTTGTGGACCTGAATTTACACTAGCTGATATCTGCCTTGGAGCCTTGTTGCACAGGCTCAAGTTCTTGGGACTTTCTAAGAAATATTGGGAGGATGGCAGCCGACCCAACCTGCAATCCTTTTTTGTGCGTGTGCAAAAACGCTACGCTTTTCGAAAGGTCCTTGGGGACATCCACACCACCCTCCTGTCAGCGGTCCTACCTAATGCCTTCCGAATGGTAAAAAAGAAGCCGCCATCTTTCTTTGGGGCTTCTTTTCTCATGGGCTCTCTGGGCGGGATGGGCTACTTTGCTTACTGGTATTTAAAAAAGAAATATATGTAGTTAAAGCCCTCTTGTTGTGTTAAATGTCTGTGTATTTGTGTGATGTTTAAACTTTTCTGTAATGTTTTATGACTGCAGGAAAACATAATTAATCTATATAGATAACACTATAACTTACATGAGTGAACAAATGCATAATAAAACATTCCATAGTAACAAATTCCAGACAGCACATTTTCTGGTGGATATGGCCTTCAAAAAGTTCAATATCCATAAGCTTGCAGCCCTTGTGCTTTGAAGTCATCGTTTAACTTTTTGTGAGGGTCTGCTTAAACTTCAAACTACAAGTAGATGTCCAGATGAAACGTGGAACACAATAACACCGATGAGGATTAATCACCCTCCGCATGCCACTGTCATATTTATAGCTACTCTTTGTTCTTTTCCATGTATCTGAGGTTAAACTAGTTGAACCACGAGAATACGAACAAAACAAACTTTCTGATTTGTGCATTGTTGCAAAAAACTGCCAGGTCCCATATTCAAATGAAGGAGACAAAGTTTAATGGTCTAAACATCGCCCCCATTTGGGAATAAGGGGTTCAGAAAATGGACGGATGGATGGATGTGCACAATAAGTATGAAACTACACAAATGACATGGCATTTGTAGCCTGGAATAAGAATTGAATAGAGGAAAAAACATCCCGGTTCGGTAAAAACAAACAGACTAATAAACAACAAAGAAAAACCAAACAAACAGATTCTCTGAAGCCAATGAATGAGGTTGTAATTTATTATACAATACCCTGGACATACCCTGCCCATCTCCGGGTCTAAATTTGTAATGTGAGACATGAAATAATATTTGATAACTACTCACAGAGTTACGGAGAAGCTGTCAGTTGTTTTTGGCCTTTTATAGAGTTAGATTAGCGGTGCCCTCCCTGCAGTTTGTGCATCTCATGCATCATAATTACTACATATCTGCTCCAAAAAAAGATACATATGTAATTTCACAGAAAATCACAGAGCTTTGGTTTAGCAACACACAGCACAGTTATGAGACTACAGGCAGCAAAGAGCTTCCTCAAAAAGTGTTAGATATAAATGTTGTTGTAACTCATAAATTTCCCTTAATTTTGAACATACACGCTTGCTCTTTTTGTGAAACAGGCCAATCACTGACATATTTTGCATGTCATTTAATTTGATATGACAATTTTCTGTGGTTAGCAAGGAGATATGCCATTTTCAGCTATTGTTCTTTAAAACTGAAAACACATGTAATATGAGCCATATTTTTTCAGTCTTTTTCATTTTTAATATCCCAACCGATTTAAAAATTGGTTTAGTTGTTCATTTTTTAGTGTAGTCTTTTAAAACTCTTTTGAAACAACACTCAAATTTTAAGGGTAAATTCCACCATTATTTTTCAAAGGAAACTCTTTAAATGCTGATTATAATGACTATGGGAAGACACTTCTATTGTTTACAGAAATAAAAAAAGAGAGATAAATTACTTTTTGAATATACATCCCATTATCGCCAATAGCTGTGTGAAATGGAAAATTTGATATGTATGTTTTGTTACAGATATAAGTTCACCCCATATCTGATGTCAGATATGTGAACGGTTTAGTATTTGCAGAGCTTTTTCTTGCCATATTGTGACCAGCACTCCCTTTCAACGGCTAACAATTCCGTTTTCTGTTTTTACGCTAAACAGGTTATACCCTACCTTTGTAAAATAATTTTAAAAAGATAATGAACAATCTTCTCCTAGCTAATTTCCCTGAATATCAAACTATTAATTTATCTATATTTACAGCCAGCCGAAACACAACAGCACACAGATACAATTGCTCTGACTGTTTTGTTATTTAGAGCATCATAGACTACACAACACAAAATAACCACTTTAATACTCTTTGTTGCAGAAAAGGAATTCAGCGGAAAAAGTTAGCCGTACACAGTCAATTGTGCATCAATCAAAACAAATGATGTTGCATTAGATTTAGGATTTATGTTTCATTGGATAGGAATTTTGTCAGGGTAAAAGAATCTTGTGTGAAGACATTAAGGGCTTTGTGTTGTCCAAAGGTAGAATTCCAATTTTAAAATGTAATGTTGCAAAGTGCAGTCTCTGCAGCACCTGTGGTGTTCAGTGTGCTTATGTTTGTCCCATAGCAATACCAGTAAAAAGAAAGGCACTGTATTTACTGCTGTTTGTCACTTACTTATGCAGATTGTTATATTTTTACAGACATTATGTGAGGGTTCTATAACATACTAAGCTAGGCCATTGTAATCTTGAGTTTTAATAACCCTTTAACATCTACCTTTAGAAAAAAGGACAGAGAAATATGAGCATATTTAACATTTCTTTGGAGCAAAACCAAGTCAATGCTTTCTCAAATAGTTGGGGTGACATTTTATGGCAAAAGAGAGAAATTTAGAAAAAGTAATAATATACGTTTTTTCAAAGGGAATGTTGGCTTGTAATTATTTGACACTTGCCAGGTCATAACATGTTTGGCTTGAAAGCGGGCCTGCTAAAACTGGGGAAGAACGATACAGTCTGAATAGTTTACTACTATAATCAGAATAACTGCTATAATCTGTTACTACCAAATAGTTTAAAACTAAAGAAGCCTTTCAGTATGTTTGGTTAATCTACAAGAGCCAAGGAATCCCATTACTCTTCTTCAAGACTTTGGCTTGCAGGCAGAAAAAAAGACAGACACTCAAGTAACATTAGTAGACTTGAGAGTGTTATTTCATGTATTCTACTACTTCTATTTGACTTTATGGGAGCATGATAAAAAAAAAAAAAGAATGCTCCCAAACTGTGCGCTCACTCTTCATGTTTTTGTTATTGACACAAGGTAAAGGCTGGCATTATAAAGTTAATCTAGCCTTCATCTTGTGTCTGTTTAGGCATATTCTTGATGCAGTAACCACCCAAACCTTGTTTTTTTTCCATGTAATTTATAACATGAAATATATATATTTATGTATATTTGTGTGAGTGGGGGTGTGTATTCTATAGTTTTAGTGGTTGTAAATTAATCATAAAAATAATGATTGTGGGATTTTTGTTTTATACGCTGAATTCTTTTATATGTATATTCTTTAACTAACTGACAAACAGCAGAAGACAGTGAGCAGGTAAACATGAAGCAATGTCATAACCAGCCAGTCATTGTTAGCACTTGGACAATTGTTGTTTTCCTGACTGAAATCATGTGAGAAATTGGATACACTTTTTGGATAAACACAATGAACTCAGAGTTGGAAAAAAAAATGTAATTGTGATTGCCCATGATTATTTCACAAAAATATTTTTTTACTTTTTATTTTACATATATATGCATTCTTTATGGTGCTTTTTATGATGTTTGTTCATAAGCCTTAATTTATTCAGTTGCCATCAAAGAAAAATAAATAATAAAAACAGAACATACGGGACATGCTTTTTATTTTCCTAAATCCAGTGACCACCGTGCTATGTAGGAAAGCACACAAAAAGATCATAAAACCAACAACAAATGAATCAGAATCAGAAAAAGTTTTATTGCCAAGTACATTTTTCAGACATACAAGGAATTTGTTTTGGCCTAGCTGGCACATGGCTGATATCTCTCAATGTGACTAGAAAACAGTATGATGTAACTATAAATATGTATAAATGGAAAGTATAAGTGAGATAGTTAAATGAATGAAGAGCAGTATGATAAAGTGCAAGTGATCACAATGTGCAAACTAAGTCTAATGCAAATATAAACAGAGTAAACAGGCGTTAATGTAACATAGAGTTGCAGGTGAAGACATGTGATGGGGTGGGGTGGGAGGGGTGTCAGGGTGGGTTCTGGGCTTTGTTAGTAAGGCTAGTGGCAGATGGGGAAAAAACTATTCTTGTGGTGTAAAGTTTTGGTCCCGGCCGAGGCAGATGGCCGCCCACCCTGAGCCATGGTTCTGCTCGAGGTTTCTGCCTGTTAAAAGGAAGTTTTTCCTTGCCTGTGTCGCCTAGTGCTTGCTCATGGTGGGAATTGTTGGGTTTCTGTAATTAACATCAGAGTAGGGTCTGACCTGCTCTGTTTGGAAAGCGCTGTGAGACAACTGTTGTTGTGATGTGGCGCTATATAAATAAAATTGAATTGAATTGAATGGGTGGAGGCGCACTGGTCCTGGAGCCACAGTAGACTGCAGCCGATCAACTTCTCAGCAGACCAAATGACACGCTGCAGTCTGCCCCTGTGCTTGGCAGTAGCTGCAGCATACCAGATGGTGGTGGAGGAGGTGAGGATTGACTCGACGATGGCAGAGTAGAAGTGTATCATCATTGTCTTTGGCAATTTGAATTGAAGAAAATAGATATTGTAGTGTTCATAAATGTTTGAGTGACCAGGGCATACCTTTGTCAGGAAGCACAAGCAAAATACAACTCAACTGTGCAGGTAAGTATTTCCAGGTTGCATTTAATATGGCAAAACAGCACTTAAAAGAATTGTTCGGAAAACTGAACGAAATGGCACAGAGGATTTTGACAATAGTCAGACATGACAATCAGTTGTATGACAGTACAATCAGAGGATTAGCAGAAAAGCAAGTTTTCATAAAAACTAATAAATAAAGAAAATTATTGTTCAGTTCTCTTTTCAATGGTGACATTTCATTGTCTTTTGAATGCATCTTTGAGGTTGACTGTTGAGTTTAGTCAAATATTTTCACTTTTGCCCAAGCAGTGTTTTGACAATTTATAGACCAAACAATTGAACAAATAACGGTAATTTTTTCAGCAGCAAATTTAAACCCTACATGTAGGATAAAATGAGGGCAAAATTGGTTAGTATCCCTTCTCAAACTTGTTACCAACATGGAATATTTACGAACATTTGCATCCACGGGTTTTCAAAAGCGCACATTATCAATGCTGTAAAACTGGAGCTGTAAACATTCTCAAGAATTCCACCTCATAATAAAACTCTAATTACTCAGGGATGAGTAAAGCATTTTAAACTAAGGAAGCTAAAGCCAAGGGGTGTACTACAAAGGATTTTTCTTTGGGAACTGGTTTAACTAACCCTAAAACATAGAGATAATGAGTATTATGACGGTGGTCTTATTGTTTGGCCTACAATTCTTTATGACATGCTCACCATGAAGGTGCTCAATTGATGCCTCTTTTCCACAATTTCTTTTGTACTATAGACTATCTCTCAGAAAACCTGGGTTAAAAATAAAATTCGTACTTCAGATAAGAAGAATATCACAAAAGAGAAAAAAACTAGTTTCAAACAAGGCAATACAGAAATATGTAAAAAAATCAAGTAAAAGTGACAAGCTTTATCTAAACAATAACAACAAACTAAGCCATTTCAATTACTTAAAACATTATAATTGATACGTACATATAGGTGCACAAACGTCCTACACGTTGTTTGTCTTTCAATAAATCTGTGCTTAAAAAAAAAAAAACGCATGTGTGTGCTTCCCTGCTTCAACACACCTGATTCTGATGAAGTGGATCAGTTCAAAGACTCGACACAAGCCCGATTATGGCACTCTGATGTGAATAAGGTGTGTTGCATCAGAAAAGCTTCTAAAACCTGCTGGACAGTGGCCCTTCAGGGCCAACTCTGGACACCCCTGTAATAGAATATTCTGACTATTGGTTCATTGCTTACTTATTCATCTCTCTTTGTAGTACACCCTTTTGGACATGAGAACCGTCTTGCTTATATCTCCGATTACCAGGAGTCATTTCAGGAACAGCAGCTGTTGGTCACTGTGGAGGCTGGTCATCTAATACAAAGCGACCTTTCTGCGAGGAGGTAATAACTCAAAATAGCTTCAAGTACCATGACCAGTTTGGAACCGGATACAGATATTGTCACTCTCAGTGTGTTGTTGTGGGTATGGTGGTCAATTTATCAAAACATCCACAGAAGGTAGCATTGGGTTTAGTTTAAGCCCGTTGTTTTTGTTTTTTGGGTTGCTGCTGCGGGGGGAGTCCTGGAGACCATGACTTTAGATACCAAAAGCGATATGTGATATACCAACTCAACACGCCACACGTGGTCCCGAGAAGCTTGTGTGATGGGTCATGGAAGTAAACTGAGGTGCAGACAAACATCCAAACCCACATAATCATTATCAAATTCAAGGCCATATACAGCAGATTGAGGACCATCTTATTTAGTGCTGACAGATTGGCTGTCTTCAAGAAGGCCATTGGAGCGGTTTCCTCCATGATGAGGAGGGCAGAGTAGCTCAGTATGAACGAGTGTCCGGAGATGTCATACCCCTGCCAGCGGTAGCCGGCCTGCCTGCAGGTAGCCTTGGAGGTTAGGTCCTTCTTGATGATACTCAAGGCATCATCTTCAAAACATGCGCCAGTCACATCCTCGATGTAGAAAAAGGAAGCCGTGCAGACATACCAGATAAATGTTGCCACTACCAGAGACAACAGTCGCGATCCGAGGAAAGAATAACTCCTCCGGATGGTGGAGTTGGAGAGAAGAAGGAATGGTGTCAGTAGCAGCAGTGTCCAGCCCCAGGACACTTTGACAAAATATCTGCAAGAGTAGACATGGAGAGGTGTTAGTTCTCATTTTCAAAGTTAATAAAAAGGGATACACAATGCATTTGTGCTTTGATTGTTTTCATTTGCCCAATAGTTCTAAATCAGTATTACAGTAATTCTGTGAGAAAAATCTTTTCCCTGTCAATTTGAATGAAAGCATTGGTCTTAAATACTTTACCCAAATATTTGATTTTCTTTATCCTTATCAACACAGAGCAAGAGTCAGTATGTGTCAAACCGATATACCAGTTTGAGGTCACTTCTCAGTAGCTAATCAAGTAATTGTGTATCCCCAAAAGTCCATCAGATATATATTTTTTTTAAACAAAAGGAAGGAAACACAATCTGTAAAAAAAATATGCTGTTAGTCAACAAAATAATTCATAAATGCCTGTAGTTCCAAATAAGATAAGAAAAAGATCAACCTATGAAGAAAATAGACCATATAAAATAAATACATTCTTTCATCCCCCCTCCCCCATATGCCTTTCTTCTGTAACAGATTGCCCCAAAAATAATTGCGGTGTATTTAATCTCTGATCAAAAAAAGAGGCTTTGACAGGATAGCCATACAGAAAAAGCAGTAAGGTCAGCAACTAAAAAGCAAACTAATTCATAATCTTAGTGTTTTAGATTATTTAAAAGACTGAAGGGACAATGTTATTCTAATTCACTTATTAGAATACAGAAGACTTCGGAAGAACTTATGCGAACAATGATAGTTTACCTTTAGCCTAGATACTTGAAACACTGTTTAATTGATAACAGTGTGAGGAAAATAAGGAACTATTAACAAGGACTGTCTCCCTTCCTTTTCAACATTGATTCATCCGTCAAAAACAGGTGCCATTACCCTAATAACTGATTTCTGGGGACAATATTAGTTTGATGATGGCGTAACAATCACGGTCTCTACTCACACGTTCAAGACGTTTTTACTACTGCTGAAGTACGTCTGTGGAACGAGCTCCGACTCTTTCAAAATTGACCCTAAAACCGTAATAAGTAAAAATATCCACGGAAATTTTTTTCGAGCCGCAGGAACCTTCCAAAATGCCACCAACTTGTCCACAATGACACCTAACGCCGCCATATTGACGCTGTTGATCTAACTGGGACGGACTTGGTGGGCGGGGTCTCTCTGACGTCATGATAATTGAACCAATGAGGCTTCATCTTCTTCTTCGTTTTTTTTTTATTTGGACAATTGAAATTCCTTTTCGCCAATGGACATTACTGCCACCAGTGTTGTGGGACAGATAATGTAATGACTCGATTGAAAAACGATACATACATAATAACTTTATTTTCCAAAGTTTAGTATATTGTCAGCCTGTCTTAAAAAGCTAATTTTAGTCACGGTATCAAATGTGTGAATGGTTAAGAATCTGTCTGGGTTGGAGAGGAAATGGAGTGGTGGGATGATGATATCTGAGACCATGTCAATGATGGTTTATTTGACTAAGTTGAACAACTTTTCCTTGATTCCTCTTTAAAACTGTCTGTCTCATGCCTCCATAATGTATATATTATATACTTTATGTACAGTGTGTCTTCTCTTCAGTTCTCTTCAGTATAAGTGAACTACTTTTTCTTTACTGAAATGTGCTCCGGTGTGCCATTCACTGTGAAGCCATCTTTGAATTTCTTTTTCATAAAGATACAAACTCTTCTCACTGCACTACATATAAAAAGCTCTGTTTTGTTTAGGTGTGCTGTCCTTTTCATGAGCCAGGCTCTTTGGGATTGTGCTCATGGTGAATTGCTGTGCTTTGAGAATTTATAGAGGACTAAAATGACACAAACATAACAGGTGCTTCAGTGAACCACCCACAGGGTAAGAATGATACCCCACTGACACTCCCAAAGAAGAAGACTGGGTGCTCTACTTCAAGCTTTTAGGATGATCATGATTTGGATTTCAAAATCTATACCAACACATATCCCACCAGTTTATTTTGTAGAATTGTACTTACTGGGCATTGCAATTACTTTATTTAGAATAATTACTCACCATTTTAATGTTATGCTATTCATTTACTCATACTTTCTCATCATGGTTCAGCACTTGGGTTAGCCCTTCCACAATGACAGAGGGTCTTTCTGCTTAAAGATTGGTGGATGGATCCAGCCATGATTTAAGGTGTTGGTCGCTGAGCTCCACGTGGACCCACGTATTATACCTGAAACGGTACATCTCTGTCCTTTTCAGTTGTGTGACTGCATTTGTGGGTTGTTTTAGCAATGGACAAAAGGCTAAACACAGGGAACTCGTTGACCAATATTTGGCATCACGTGGGGACATTCACCTGATGATTGTTAATGAAGACGTTATGACCAACAATGAGCTATAAGAATACAGATGATATCTCACATAGATAGATATCTCAGCATATCCTCTACTGATGCATACTAATTAAGTTGATATGATATGTTGATATGTTGACTAACATGTTTATTACAATTCTTTTCATAAAGCAATTCTTGTTGGGGCCTTATTTAAGCACCCATTTAATCAATAAAAAAGTAATACAGGTGTTGCTCTGAAAGATTCACACTCAAAGGATATTCAAGAGTCTTTTCAGCAAATGAACAATTTCTTAGTTGGAACCAAAACCGGAAAATGTGTGGCTCAGAAACCTTGAAAATCCTTCGTACAATTTTCTTTAAGGTCTCCTGTCCCATCATGACTCAGTTACAGTTATTCTCTGCTGTGCCTTGAAGTATACAGGTGATGTCATGCTGCATGCAAAGAATGATTGGTGTTGACTTACTACTCATTCATCAGCCATTAATCATCAGGATTGTTCTGATTGTGGGTGAGCATCCCACAAATGTCTGACCCTTTTCTGACACCACTGCTCACATTTTCTAATTCATGACAATTTAATAAATTTTCTAGACAACATTTGATAATTCAAGCAAAAATGTGTACAAATGGGTTTTTGGATGGGTTTTCATGGTCCACAATAATGAAATGGTGTTTAATTTATTAGTTTAGTTTGAGACTGTTTAATCATAGGATTGCATCTTTAATAATTAGTTCTATGAAGTAAAAACATATTCAACTTAAACCACAGGACCTCTTCAAACTCCAACACTCAAATGATGGGCAAAAATGTACTGTATGTGTACATTGTCTCACCCACTCCATTCCTTTTTGCGTTTTGCTTTTAAATGCTTTCAAATCATTATACTCCCCTCTCCAAGTCTTGGATATGATTTTTTTTCTTTGCTGTTTTTGATTCTCAAAACATTTTTATTATGTTTTTTAAATTATTTTTAGATACTCAGTACACTTACTTAGCAGGAGTTTACATTATCAGTTGCATGCCCCCTTTTCTGAAGATGATCTCCGTCAGAAAATCAACATGCTGGAAACCAAAATCCAACGACTTGAGGTAAAGGTGGAAGATGGTGGAATAAGTGGAAATGATCCTGCTAACCATCAGCTGATCAGCACTAGCAAGGCTGAGAGGAAATTAGAGGATGTTGCTTTGAGTAACAAATCCTCAAGTAATGTCTGGAATGCTGTTGTTGCAAAGCCGAAGAATAAAACATCTCACAGGGAGAAGACAGAACTAGCCCTGCCTGGTGATATCTGTGATGTATCTGGCTGGCCACCACAACCAACGATAAACAGTCTTCCTCGACACTAGCTGTTGGCAGGACAAAGATTTGGACAGCAGTCAGTGGAAAACAAAAAAGAAGCCTACTCTTTCTTTTCAAACAAACACCCGACTGCAGAACAGATTTGCACTGCTACAGAACTCTGGATATCCATCTGCTGATCTGAATAAAGTCTCTTTATGTAACATAGTTACTCTAGCACTGAGTTTGTTTTTGTTTTGGTCACTAATTCTCCCCGTCTCTCGCCCATTGACTACTGGGTTAGGCTCCAGTCCCCCTGCGACCCCATTAGGGAATAAGAATTGCGATAATGGATGGATGGTGAGAGGAATAAGACAAACAACTTTGTTCTGTTGAACAGCAGAAATATTATCTGTCCTTCCTGGTCTGGTCACAAAAGAATAAGATGATTGAAATGGATACACAAACTTAAAGAAAAAAATTGAAAATAAACTTTTTTTTTAATGTATGACAACTTATTTTTAATACCTTAGCAGTTCTGGGGTATATAGTGTGGCAGCCTAGCGCAACACCCACAAAGTATCGTGTAATATGAATGCCTTTAAACAATAATTGTAAAACTTGGTGATTGAAAACTGCATCATGACTTCACAGTGTGTTGAAAATAAGGCATTATTCAGCATCTATTAAAGATAACCTCATTCACAATTATACCACACCTTTAAGTCCTATTAACCATAAGAGGTGAAAGGGTATTTGAATAAAAGTATTATAAAGGATTAAGATCAAACTCTTGATGTGATTCCCAAGGGTTTGGGTAAAATCCTCATACTCCACCCCTCTTTATCCATAGGGAGAGAAACAGTGGAATATTATGAATATTATATTTTTATACATCAACACATAAAGGTACATTTTGTCATCATGTAATGACAAGTGGTAGTTTAAAGTTTAAAGCTTGTAAAGCTACAAAGTGTTTGGTCAATGCATGCATACAACATGACTTAAGCTACATCTAAATAGCTAAGATGAATGTGAATGTTTATGCAGAGTGAAATTGCTGCAATTTGTGTCTAAAGTCTAAAGTCTAAAGTTTTTAAATTTGTTTTTATACATGTTCAAACATATTTTTTAAATCATCTTGATGATGTATAGAATAGGAAGAAACAGCTCCATCATGTTTCAGTAACATGTTATTACAAATGGTGAAACTCAGAAAAATGAACGTACATTTTTACAAACTACAAACACATATGTTGTTTCAGTAATGGTTGATCTCAATGTTGTTACACATTATCGCTCAGAAAAACTAAATACATTTTTTCACACATTTTCTATTCGTGTTTGTATGAATATTGTTGTGTTGCTACTATTTGTACTCGACTTGGTGATTTTTATTAAAGAAGTAGAAGTTATCTATTGCATATGATGATTACTTTTTTGAAGAGTGAAATTAAATAACCTTTTATTTTCCTGACTTTTCTATGATTTCTACAGGTTTGGAACAGTGGACTTGCCAAGTTGGCTGACTCCTGGGCTTCAAAATGTGTTTAACCAAATTATTAATTGTCAATGACTTCAGGAGGGTAGTGCAGATGCCAATACTGATAATGAACTTTATGGTGTTCGTATTGTGAATATGTTAATATGTAAAAATCTTGACAGGTACCAGTCCATTGCAGAACCCATTAGGAAATGGTATAATGAAATACATAATTTCTCTCATCCGAACAAATGCAGTGGATCCTTTTGTTTTCACTACGCTACGGTATCATTTGAATCTTTTAAAGAAGTATATTTTAACCTGATTACCCCTCCCTAGGAAGCTGTCACAGTGACACCGCTATTTTCCATAATTTTTATGTACAGCTGAGAGAAGAAACCTTAATGAGATTTCCAACTGCGGAGGTCTTTGCAAAACTTTTGTAAAGCATTTTACTGGTACTTAGCTCCAACACCATGGTAAGATGTCTTGAGTTCTGCTCTCTATGTTCTCTGTCTCTATGTTTCCTGTCAACGGGCTGTCACCGTTCTGCAGCACACCCTGAAGAGTAATTCTACCGACTATGATTTAGGGATTTTGGTTGTTGTGTAGAGGCAACACTGCGGCTTTTTTTTCTTTTACAGAAGCATGTGTTGGTTTGGACCTTTAAAACCATTTGAGACTTTAACGTAGATCCCAAAATGTTAACCTAACACTGATTTTTTATGTATGAATTAAGTTTTTACTAACAGCAAATTATTCTGCTGTCCAGTCACCAGTATTCTGAAGTATCAACTCATGGATATTTCACATATAGTGCAGGTCATCATCCATACATTTGTGGTAAATCAAATACAAATAATTACTTTTTAAAATGAAAGTAGTTTCTGATTTAACTTTGGAAATATTAAGATTTTATTATTACAATTAATTTACAATTGAATAATTTATTCAGTTATTTTTTACATTTTGAATTATGATTATTATTGAGAGATATTGACATTAAGAAATCAACCACTTTTACAT